AACATTCATCGTCCGCGCCACAACCGCCTGTGTTGTGCCGATCTGTAGCATGCCAAGGGCACGTAACCTTTCATTTTGGGTAAGCCGACGCATATCAAAATTTGTTTTCTGGTCACTAAAACAATTAAACTGATGTTTCCACCCTGGAATTCAATGCCACAATGACTGTAACATTCAAAGTCAGAGTCGTGCAAATCTTGGGTTGGACCCCCATGATGATCCCAAGCATCACCTGCATTCCATGCGGTAGCTATTGGTGCGTTTGGGCGTCACATGTAACTGGAAATGTTTCTTCTGTTAGGTTCTATAGTGACTTTTTTCGTAGTCATTTGCATATTTTAGTATTATGCCCCCAAAATCAAATATCCCCTACTTTTTTTGAATAGTATATAATGTTAAAATACAATATGATCGTACGTTACAGAAAACCAGCGGCTGCCAGGCAGGATACGCCCACATTTTCGAGAGATGGATAGAGAACAAGCTAAAAAGAAAGTGATTTTTTTTTAAAATCAAGGGCCATAATTCAGGAAATTACAATTCCATATGTGCAAATATCAAAAGGAACCGAGATCTTTGGGTTATAAACTTACATTTCAAGTTTCAAGAAAATCGGATAAAAATTGTGACCTCTATAGGGTCCACAACCTTGATATACCATATTTTTTCGCTATTTGAGAACGAAGGGCGGCCATTTTGTCTGTCAGTTTTGGTCCGATTTTCACGAAATTCGAACTCAGCCGTCCTTAAGGTGTAAAGGTGATATAATAATACGATTTTTTAAATTGCATAAAAATTATGACCTTTATAGGGTCCATAAGCTAAAAACGTGATTTTTCGTACAATCAAGGGCCATAATTCAGGAAATTACAATTCGATATGTGCAAATATCGAAAGGAACCGAGATCTTTGGGTTATAAACTTACATTTCAAGTTTCAACAAAATCAGATAAAAAGGGTCCACAACCTTGATATACCATATTTTTTCGCTATTTGAGAACAAAGGGTGGCCATTTTGTCTGTCAGTTTTGGGCCGATTTTCACTAAATTCGAACTCAGCCGTCCTTAGGGTGTAACGGTGACATGATAATACATTTTTTAAAATTGGATAAAAATTATGACCTCTATAGGGTTCAAAAGCTAAAAACGCAATTTTTCGTACAATCATGGGCCATAATTCAGGAAGTTACGGTCCGATATGCGCAAATATCGAAAGGAACCAAAATCTTTGGGTTATAAATTTACATTTCAAGTTTCAACAAAATCGGATAATCAGCGGCTGCCAGGCAGGATACGCCCACATTTTCGGGAGATGGATAGAGAACAAGTTAAAAAGCAAGCGATTTTTCGTATAATCAGGGGCCATAATTCAGGAAGTTACGGTCCGATATGCACGAATAACGAAAGGAACCTAGATCTTTGGATTATAAACTTACATTTCAAGTTTCAACAAAATCGGATAAAAATTGTGACATCTATAGGGTCCACAACCTTGATATACTATATTTTTACGCTAATTGAGAACGAACGGCAGCCATTTTGTCTGTCAATATTGGGGCGATTTTCTCAAAATTCAAACTCAACTGTCCTTAGGGTGGAACGGTAATATAATAATACGTTTTTTTAAATCGGATAAAAATTATGACATCTAATGGGTCCACAAGCTAAAAACACGATTTTTCGTACAATCAGGGGCCATAATTCAGGAAGTTATGGTCCGATATGGGCGATTACCGAAAGGAACCGAGATTTTTGGGTTATAAACTTACATTTCAAGTTTCAATAAAATCGGATAAAAATTGTGACCTCTATAGGGTCCACAACCTTGATATACCATATTTTTACGCTATTTGAGAATGAACGGCGGACATTTTGTCTGTCAATTTTGGGCCGATTTTCATGAAATTCGAGAGAGAGAGAGAAATGGGGTTTAACGTCCACTCGACACAAACTAGGTCATTTCAGGACTAACATGGTTATTTAAATTTTATTTCAATAATTCACTTGCGCGTAGGGGTCTTTAGCAGTGGGAGGAAACCGGAGGACCCGGAGAAAACCCACGAGGTTGGACAGGCGACCCTACTCCTTGCCACGTACAACCGGGGCTCGAAACCACGCCTATCGACTCAATGACAGACTTTATGATACAGCACGCGCACGCTAACCATTCAGCCATCCAACCCCCCTTATGAAATTCGAACTGATTCGTCCTTAGGGTGTAACGGTGATATAATAATACGTTTTTTTAAATCGGATAAAAATTATGACCTCTATAGGGTCCACAAGTTAAAAACGCGATTTTTCGTACCATCAGGGGCCATAATTCAGGAAGTTACGGTCCGATATGCGCGAATATCGAAAGGAACCAAGATCTTTGGGTTATAAACTCACATTTCAATTTTCAACAAAATCGGATAAAAATTGTGACCTCCATAGGGTCCACAACCTTGATATACAGTATTTTTACGCTATTTGTCCTTAGGGTGGAACGGTAATATAATAATACGTTTTTTTCAATCGGATAACAATTATGACATCTATTGGGTCCACAAGCTAAAAACACGATTTTTCGTACAATCAGGGGCCATAATTCAGGAAGTTATGGTCTGATATGGGCGATTACCAAAAGGAACCGAGATCTTTGGGTTATAAACTTACATTTCAAGTTTCAACAAAATCGGATAAAAATTGTGACCTCTATAGGGTCCACAACCTTGATATACCATATTTTTACGCTATTTGAGAATGAACGGCGGCCATTTTGTCTGTCAATTTTGGGCCGATTTTCATGAAATTCGAGAGAGAGAGAGAGAGAAATGGGGTCTAACGTCCACTCGACACAAACTAGGTCATTTCGGGATTAACCTATGGTTTTTTAAAATTTTATTTCAATAATTCGCTTGCGCGTAGGGGTCTTTAGCAGTGGGAGGAAACCGGGGGACCCGGAGAAAACCCACGAGGTTGGACAGGCGACCCTACTCCTTGCCACGTACAACCGGGGATTTGAAACCACGGCAGTCGACTCAATGACAGACTTTATGATACAGCACGCACACGCTAACCATTCAGCCATCCACCACCCCTCATGAAATTCGAACTGATTCGTCCTTAGAGTGTAACGGTGATATAATAATACGTTTTTTTAAATCGGATAAAAATTATGACCTCTATAGGGTCCACAAGCTAAAAACGCGATTTTTCGTACAATCAGGGGCCATAATTCAGGAAGTTACGGTCCGATATGCGCAAATACCGAAAGGAACCGAGATCTTTGGGTTATAAACTTACATTTCAAGTTTCAAGAAAATCAGATAAAAATTGTGACCTCTATAGGGTCCACAACCTTGATATACCACATTTTTTCGCTATTTGAGAACGAAGGGCGGCCATTTTGTCTGTCAGTTTTGGTCCGATTTTCACGAAATTCGAACTCAGCCGTCATTAGGGTCTAAAGGTGATATAATAATACGATTTTTTAAATTGCATAAAAATTATGACCTCTATAGGGTCCATTAGGTAAAAATGTGATTTTTCGTACAATCAAGGGCCATAATTCAGGAAATTACAATTCGATATGTGGAAATATCGAAAGGAACCGAGATCTTTGGGTTATAAACTTACATTTCAAGTTTCAACAAAATCAGATAAAAATTGTGACCTCTATAGGGTCCACAACCTTGATATACCACATTTTTTCGCTATTTGAGAACGAAGGGCGGCCATTTTGTCTGTCAGTTTTGGTCCGATTTTCACGAAATTCGAACTCAGCCGTCCTTAGGGTGTAAAGGTGATATAATAATATGATTTTTTAAATTGCATAAAAATTATGACCTCTATAGGGTCCATAAGCTAAAAACGTGATTTTTCGTACAATTTTGGCGGAAAAAAACTGAAAGCCAGTGTGAGCCCTGATTCCAAGCGATTTCTCCATTGATAAATTACGGTCCACTTTATCCTTTTCCCAAAAAAACTTCTGTGATAAATCTGAAATGTTGTGATAAAGAAGTGGAACTCCATTTAAAGCATCTACATTTGCCCAAAAAATGATGCATCATGAAGTATAAAATAAATTGAAATGGGGTTTAACATCCTACACATGCAATGTGCTATGATGGAGATTTTGCTCGAACAGCGGTGTTTTTTCCTACTCTTCATCGATGTCCATCTGTCAAAGGTTCTCTTACATGCACAACAAAATGAACACAGGCTCCAGGTTTTTTTGTATCATCCGAAGGACTAGATGCTATCAAGCCCCAGACCTGCCTCACTGACAAGGGGAAAGTGAGAGAGAGAGAGAGAGAAATGGGGTTTAACGTCCACTCGACACAAACTAGGTCATTTCGGGAATAACATATGGTTTAATTTTTATTTCAATAATTTGCTTGCGCGTAGGGGTCTTTAGCGGTGGGAGGAAACTGGAGGACCCGGAGAAAACCCACGAGGTTGGACAGGCGACCCTACTCCTTGTCACGTGCTAACCATTCGACCATCCAACCAGGGGAAAGTATACTACAACAACACAATCATGAATTGCAATCCCAAGTTCATTAAACAATTTACAGCCATTTTTGGGAGCTCATCCAATTATTGACACATAGGTCACGAAAGGATTAATCATCAAACGAAGCTCTCACAATGCGAATTTCTTGACTTCTTATTGTTCAAAACCCAATTAAAACAATTGATCTGCTAGACAGTGGTGCTTCATTTCCAGTATCTTTTAAATGAATTTAGTCCAGGAAATTGGACCACATTTTCCCTTTTGCACAGCGTACCACAGCTAATCCAACAAAGCCGTCATAATGTAAATTTCTTGACTCAGCTGGACAGTGGTGGTTCATTTCTGTGACTTTGGATAGATCAATCAGCCTGATATTTTATATACATATATTTGGGCACTAAGTAAGTAATCGCACAGACAAAAAACAAGGCAAAATCCGAAACTTGGGCCATATCACTTCCTGCATGGTCTTCTTGCTGACACATTCTTAAATACATACCTTGATGTTTCATTGAAAAATTTAGGTTTTCTAGCATTGACAATAATAACATCGAACATATCACCCCAATCTTCACCAATCATATACTTTAATCCTGCATCCCTGCAAAAGCAAAGAGGCCTTCACATTTAAACCAGCAGTTGCCAGACAAGATACGCCCACATTTTGCAAGTGATCGATCGAGAATAAGCTAAAAACAAAAGCAATTTTTCGCACAATCAAAGGCCATAATCCAGAAAGTTATGGTCTGAAATGCGCAAATATCGAAAGGGACCAAGATCTTTGGGATATAAAGATATATTTTAAGTTTCATCAAAATCCGATTAAAATTGTATTATATACTTTTACACAATTTGCGTACAAAGAGCGGTTATTTTGTTAGGCAGTTTCGTTTCGATTTTTGCAAAATTCGAATTCACCCTTCATTATAGTGGAATGGTGATATATTTAAACGTTTTTTAAAATCAGATAAAAATTCTGACCTCTAGAGAATCCACAATTTTTCGTACAATCAGGGGCCATAATCCAGGAAGTTACCTTCCAATATGCGTGATTATCAAGAGGAACCAAGATCTTTGTGATATAAACATACACTTCAAGTTTTATCAAAATAAAATAAAAATTGTGACTTCTGGAGGGTCCACAACCTTGGTATTACATACTTTTAGACTATTTGCTTACAAGGAGTGGCCGTTTTATCCGACAGTTTCGGTCTGATTTTTACAAAAATTGAACTCAACCTTCAGAGATGTAACAGTGATATATTTAAATGGTTTATAAAATTGAATACAAAATGTGACTTCTAGACAGTCCACAAGCTAAAAACGTTATTTTTTCGAACAATCAGCGGCCATAATTCAGGAAGTTATGTTCCGATATGAGTGATTATCTAGAGGATCAATGATTTTTGTGATATAAACATACATTTCACGTTTCATCAAAATCGAATAAAAATTGTGATTTCTAGAGGGTCAACAACCTCAAGGTATTACATACTTTTAGACTATTTGCATATGTTAGGCGCAATCTTCACCCCCAATGCAGATTGCAATCTGCGCTGTCATACTGCGCTGATTGCACTCCGAGCGCCAGATTGGACACCGTGCGCGCATATTACAAACTGCGCTTATGAAGCTGGCGAGCAGATTGCCCACTTTGCGCTGATTACCCCTCGATGTTTTTAGAGATGTTGTAGTGTGTCAGACACAACTATATATATTATATATGACCTGCGTCCTATGGTCTTTGTAGTGAAATAATTTTCAAAATCACTGCATAATTAGCGTGTGTGCTTATCAGCAGTATCTCATAATTGGTGCTGACCACGTGACTGAATGTCAAAAATATTTGCTGTATTACGTATGTCAATTGCTAAATGCCGCCCAAAGAAGATGTAAATGTATAATAGTTTGACCGATCGTAGTTACTTTACTAACGAAGTCTTAGAGACCCCTATATGAAGAGAGAGCACTGGGGGTCTCTTAAGTAACTAGACCGATCGTAGCTGTCAATCAAAATAATAAATCAACCAATCAGATCTATATGGTCTGACGTAAATAAAGATATTTCCAGCTGACGTCAACCACCAACCTGTCATAATGGTAAAGAGATGTGCTTGGAGCCAAGTGTAATTCAGACAGTCCGAAGAGACTGACAGGCGGGTAACCTTTATTTCTTTCCCAAAGCTTGGAAGAACAGAGAGAGAGAAATGGGGGTTAACATCCACTCGACACAAACTAGGTCATTTTGGGACTAACATATTGTTCAATTTTATTTCCATTATTTGATTGCGCGTAGGGGTCTTTAGCAGTGGGAGAAAACCGGAGGACCCAGAGAAAACCCACGAGGTTGGACAGGCGACCCTACTCCTTGTCACGTACAACCGGGGATTCGAAACCACGCCAGTTGATTCAATGACAGACTTTATGATACAGTGCGTACGTGCTAACCTTTCAGCCATCCAACCCCCCTCTTCAAAGAACATGCGATACCAGACGATGGATAGGTTGATGCGGACGACCAGTTAAATGAAGAGATAGGCTTAGTACTGGGTGAGCGGAGAAAGGCAAACATCTTTTTGTGTGCAATAACTTACTAAGGTTATTATTTATAGTTTTATAGACTTTTTTGCCTACTCTTTTTTTCAAACAAAATACACTCGACCATTTGCATCATTATTTTTCTTATGTACCGGTAGGCCTTATCTTAGTTATAGGCTAATAAATGTGTCTGTTTTTACAATGTGACATTAAAATGTCAGTATTTCCTCTCAGACAATTTATAACTTCATTCGGTTATTGCACCAGGGCAGAAGTGACAGCCAGTAGAAACAATCTTTTTCATAATATAATTAATAACTCATAAATAGGACTATACTACAGAACTTGGTCTGCAGGCTAAATAGTTAAGGGATGGGCGCAGGACCTGACAAGGAAAGCTGTCTAGTCATTTGGATGGGATAAAAAAACGAGGTCCTGTGTACACATTGGTGAGCACGTAAAAGATCCCTTGATAGTTGGAATTCAAGAGTAGGCCGTAGTGCCACTGTCCTGGCAAAATTTCCCTCATAGCACACTATGGCGTATACCTGTCTTTATTGGCCTAGTTTAGAACAGAACAGTAGGACGTTTAACCCCATTTCATTTCATTTCAGGCATGGGCCTTAATTTCAAGTTTGATTAAGAAGTTAACAAAACAAGCCAGCAGTGAGGCTGATGTTCCCCGCCGAAATCCCAAAATAAGTAGATGAGACATATTAATTAATCGCACATTTATTTTTTTCAAAAGTATCAAGCAATCAAACTGATTATTAACTATACACTAAGTTTCATCACTCTCTATCAGATAGAATCAAAATTATCTTGTCCCAAAGCATCGACCAATGAAATTGCTTAGCTCAGCTTAGCTTTAGCTCGAAATGTTAATGACTGAACTCAGTCGAGACATTTACTTAATGAACATCTACATCAAGTTAAAACATTTAACTGCAATTAAAAGCAGAGTTGTTACGTTCCAAAGTCTTGACGATCAGATCGTTCCTTAGTCAAGGTAATGATCAATCTGAATGACAGACTCATCCTAGCTACCATTTAATTTTTGTACATTAGTTACGTACGGGTAATGATATAATGAATCTATACTAAGACAGAGTTTCATCACTCTCACTTAATTATAAATAAAGTTATTGTGCCCCAAATCATCAACCGATCAGATTGCTTATCTATGCTTACAGTAAGCAAACAATGTTTATAATCGAACTCCATCAAGGCATTCACCTAATGAACACCTACAACAAGTTTGAACATTCTACCTCAATTAGAAGGAGAGTTATTATGTTCCAAAGTCTTGACGAATCAAATTGCTTATCACTCTGCTTACCCTAAACAGAAAATCCTCATTATCGAACTTAAGTCAAGGTATTGATGTGATAAAACTATACACCAAGTGTCCTCACTCTCACTGAATTAGAACTAAAGTTATCGTGTCCCAAAACATCAAACAATCAAACTGCTTATCTCTGCTAACCCTAAACAGAAATTTCTCATCTTCGAACTCCATCAAGGCATTCACCTAATAAACACCTATGTAGTATGACAAGTGTAACTATTCTAGCTCAATTAGAATGAGAGTTACTGTGTTCCAAAGTCTCGACCAATCAAATTGCAGAAAATGTTCATCTTCAAACTCCATCAAGGCATTGGCCTAATAAACACCTGCACCAAGGTTGAGAGAGAGAGAGAGAAATGGGGTTTAACGTCCACTCGACACAAACTAGGTCATATCGGGACCAACACATGGTTCAATTTTATTTCAATAATTCACTTGCGCGTAGGGGTCTTTTGCAGTGGGAGAAAACCGGAGGACCCGGAGAAATCCCACGAGGTTGGACAGGAGACCCTACTCCTTGTCACCTACAACCGGGGAATTGAAACCCTGCCAGTTGACTCAATGACAGACCGTATGATACAGCGTAGCGCGCACGTGCTAACCATTCGCCATCCAACCCCCCTTGCACCAAGTTTGAACATACTACCTCAATTAGAAGGAGAGTTATTGAGTTCCAAAGTCTCAGCCAATCAAATTACTTATCGCTCTGCTTACCCTGAGCAGAAAATACTCATTATCGAACTTAAGTCTAGTTCACACCAACGGCGAATGTCGCGCTTTAAATCGGCGAGCAAAGCGCCATCATTTTTGTTTACTTTTCCAAAAATATCACGATCTCCTAAGTAATGTTACGCTCTGATAAGCTCTGATACGAATTGGTTACGCTTTGGGGGACGAATTATTTCCCGATTTGATCAGGCCTTGTTACGCTTTAAATAACGCTTTGATAAGCTTTATTACGCTTTGATGCAATTATGATCCTTTAAATCACGCTCGGATATGATTTTTATTAAGGTCTGTTGTGTATTGTTAAGCTGTGTTACGCATTGGAAAATTTCATGCCGCTTTTGATCCAGAGCAGATCCACAAAATCATTGCATCTTTGACTCCACAACACGATGGCAGAACTACAAGATCCAGAAGTTCCAGATGTACTAGAGCATAATCTATCTGAAGAAGACATGATGTTTGTCTCCCTACTGTATAAACACATCCTAGCCCTTGAGGAGGAGGAAGAACAGCAAAGACCAGGGGAGGGAGAAGACTAGTCATCAGGAGCTGCTGGACCAGGCCATGGCTCACTGAAGAAAGAAGACAACAGTATGGTCAATACACTAGCCTCCTGGATACACAACTCAGATTAGAAGACTTTGCTGCCTTCAGAAACTTCACCAGATTTACCCCTGAGGTGTTCGATGATATCCTGGAGAGAGTGGCACCAGTCATCCAGAAGCAGCAGATTAACTACAGGCACCCCTTGTCCGCTGGCCTCAAGCTGCTGGCAATCACCCTGAGACATCTGGCCACTGGGGAAAACTACAGGTCACTGGCATATGGATTCAGATGTGGTATCTCCACCATATCAGAGCTGATTCCGGAAGTGTGCAGGGCCATTGTACAGGCGTATAAAGATGAGGTCTTCAACCCACCTACCTCCCCTGAAGCATGGAGAAACCTTGCCCAGCAGTTTGAACAGAGGTGGCATGTCCCTCATG